CATCCCCGGGGATCTAAGGAAGGGCACATTTCCGACCAAGAAGGTCAGTTTTTTTATTATACCGGCACAGCTCCTGGTTTTCTCTATGGATGAGGGGCAGACAGTAAATAGAAACGGTGTTTCCAAGCGTCATATTTGGAAACTTTGTCCAAAGTCATCTAATATTAGGGGGAGGGTGTTCAATGTGTACCACGCTTTCCAACCGCCTGGGTTGCGGCTGAGATAGCGCATATGAGAAAACACCTCCTAGCCGGGGTTTAAATTCTGCATTTTGTAGGCGGCGACATACCCAAGAATGTTAGCCCATAAGTTTGAGATTAACTTCCAGACGCCCAGGCCATAACCCCTAATTATGGCCTTCACAGCGTCGTGAAGTGGGAACCGGAGACCAGCCAAAAACGTTGCCTTGTAACATCCAAAATAGGCATTGGCCTTCTTTTGATCGTCCTTCCAAGAGATGGTGCCCGGTTGTAATACCCCGTATTTTTATACGTATTTTATTTAATATATATACACTTTATACGTATTTTATTTAATACATATATAAATTTTAGAAGGGTATTTAAATAATTCTAGCATTTTAATTATGATGTTTTAATTATTTATCCCATGTAAATTGGGAATATTTTACAAAAGGAAAGGTTGTCTAATTAATTAATTAATAGAAGTTGGGGTTTTATTTTAAGAAATTATGATTTTTAACAAGTTTTAGTAGGGAAGGGATTAGGAAAAACTAAAGGAGGAAAGTTTAGGGTAAAAGGGGAGATAGAGAAGGGGTATAAATATTCCTCTTATGAGGCAATTCAATGTTGCCTAGAGTGGAGAAAACCCAAGGTAAACTTCTTTCCCTTTTTTCTTTATTTTTCTCTTTCTTTTTTTTTCTTTTTTCTCTCTCCTTCCCTTCCCCTCTTGCCGCGCACAGCCACCACCGGCAGCCACCATCACCACCGGTGGGCCGCCGACCACCAGAACCAGCCGGCAGCAGCGGCGACCACCGGTAGTGGCGCCGGACCCCTGCTGTCGGCAGCCATGTTTCTCGAAAAAAAAAAAGGTTTTTTCTTTTAAAACTAAAATCTTTATTACCCAAAACTATTCTATGCTTTAGTCTAATTATAAATTATGAGTTTGGAGATTTAATTTTGATGTTTGGTTATTGTAATTGTGTTACTTAATTTTCAGATTTGGTTTTTAATTAAAAAGCCCCAATTTTTGAAACCCTAGGTTCTTGATTCATGATTTATTGAAAGATGATGATGTATAAAAGGGTAGGCCTTTGTTTTAAGTGTTTTAAAACCTAATTACAACAAGTTTTAATTATAATAAAGTGCTGGAATTTTATGTAGAACACTTGATATTATGTTTCTTGAAGAAATTTTAATTACCCATTAATTGGGACTTAATTTATGGTGTTTTAAATATAATTTCAGCTTATTCTAATTAAATTATGAAGGGTTTTAAAATAGTATATATTGCTGGAAATTTGTTTATAGTGGATATTGATACTCTATTATGGATTTAATGTGTAGGAGACTTTGAAGTAAGCGATTTCTACTAGTCGTGGCAGTTTTAATAACGTACTCAAGGTATGTACGCATACTTAGCATATTTTGATGATGTAGAATCATGTTAGGTTTGATTTCAAACAATTACAAGTAGTATCATGCTAAGGTTTATGTATGAAATTGTGAATTTATGGTGTTTGTGATTGAATTGTGAAGCATGAATTATTTGTGTTGATTATGGATTGGAAAATTATATTTTGGGCATGTTGTGTTTGAACCACATTTTTATTTATGGCATGTTAGAAGGCATGATTAATTAAACTACATGTTTAATTATGTTTGGAATATTGAAAAGGAATTTTATTATGGTTCAAATAATTTTTATTGATGCTTTAAGCATGAGGAAGGAGCTATATAAGTGTCTATGTACGCAAGGAATAAATTGTATGTTGGTGCCTTTGTGCACTTAAGGTGTTTTTAACACCGAGGGATAGGATTTTTGGCGCATTATGCGTTTAAGGTGTCTTTGACACTGAGGTAGAATTAAAAAGGGTTCAACAATAAATAATATGTGGTCACTAATTATTCAAGAATTAAATTGGTATGTTTGTTTGATTGAATAATTATTGTTGATTGACTTATTATTCTTTGAGATTCATCACCAAGTCTAATAATATGTAAATAACGTAAAGTGAAAGAGATTAATCACCAAAACTCTTGGAACGTATATACCTTGAGTATGAACAATGGGGGGAGTTATGGAGTTTTATATTTAACCATAACTTCTAATGGAGTACATGACGTTGTATATTCCTTTCTTTTTATTTATTATTATGCGCAGGAATTCCACCACCTTTGTGTGGTTTTGTCGCTGGCACAGTTAGCTCCCATGCCAGTTCACCTCAAATTTATTTGGGGGAGGTTTGATGTGAATTATTGATCCGAAAATCAACAAAACACAAAGGATATGTTTAAGTCTAATTCTATACAAGAAATCCACCAAGAATTAAACAAAAACTAAGATTAATCAATTAAGAATCCACCTAATTAATCAATCCAAACGAATGTTTTAACTAAAACAAGCAAAACAACAATTGATCACAATCAACAAAAACTCAAGTATGCAACTTAAGAAATAAATCTGAATATTAATCTCTATATAATTCGTGTGTTTTACAGCCCTATTTATAGACTTAGTTTACCTAGGAAGATTAGGACAAGTTCCTAATTCAATCCTAATTAAACTAGAATTCTAACTTGCTTGAAGAGCAAGCACCTTGGAGCACAAGCATACGCCAATCTCCTTGGAGAACAAGCACACGCCTAAACTGATTTATTTTGCTAACTAACTGATTTTAAAAGCAACTAAATAAAGATTAAGGATCCTAATGCTTGAACCAAGAAAAACCCTTTCAAGTGAAAGGTAAAATCTTGTAAACAAAATCTAAGTAAAGAAAATTCAAGAAAGTTCAAGAAAGTGAACTAGACTCCAAGAAAAGCCACTAAGCAAACCGTGGCTTTGCTTTGATATCCAAGAAAGTGTCCATGCAATGCTTGGCTTGAATCAATGTTTAGGGACAAGCTATCTTGATGCATGATAAGCAAATCTTCGAAGTTCTCCATGCTTAGACTTGCATCATCCTCCTCTTCTTCGAAAGAATTTGTCCTCAAATCTCGAAGTTCTTCATCAGGAATATACTTAGCCAAATCGCCAACATTGAATGTAGCACTAACTCCATATTCTCCCAGAAGTTCTAACTTGTAAGCATTGTCATTGATCTTCTCAATAATCTTGAAAGGACCTTCACTTCTAGGCATCAACTTATTCTTGCGTTTTCCTGGAAATCTTTCCTTTCTCAAATGTAACCATACCAAGTCTCCAACATTGTAACCTTGTTGCTTTCTATGCTTGTTTGCTCTAGCTTTGTACATGTCATTTACTTTCTCTATTCTTGTTCGAACTTGAGCATGTAATTTCAGCATACTCTTCAACTTAGACTCGGCATCTTTGTGAATTAACTCACCCTTAGGCAATGGAACAAGATCAATTGGAAGTTTCGAATTGACTCCATAAACTACCTCAAAAGGACTATATTTGGTAGCATATGTAGGTGATCTATTATAAGCAAATTCCGCATGAGCTAACTTGATGTCCCAATCCTTTTGTGTCTTACTCACTAACCCACGCAAAAGCGTACCAAGAGTACGATTAGTAACCTCGGTTTGTCCATCAGTTTGTGGATGGTAAGATGCACTAAAGAGCAATTTAGTTCCCACAAGCTTCCATAGAGACTTCCAAAAGAAACTCATGAACTTTGTATCTCGATCACTCACAATAGTTTTCGGAATTCCATGCAATCTAACAATCTCTTTGAAGTATAATTCCGCCACTTTCATAGCATCATCCACTTTGTGACAAGGAACAAAGTGAGCCATCTTAGAAAACCTATCCACAACAACCATAATAGAGTCTTTCCCCCGTTGTGTTCTCGGCAATCCCACAATAAAATCCATAGAAATATCTTTCCAAGGTGAATCTGGAACAGGTAAAGGAGTATACAAACCTTGATGAAAAGTAGCCTTCGCTTTTTGACAAGTTGCACACCTAGAAATAACTAGTTGCACATCCGTGAGCATCTTAGGCCAATAGAAGTGTTCTTGTAACATACTTAAGGTCTTTGTAATGCCAAAGTGACCAGCAATTCCTCCCCCATGAGCTTCTCTAACAACTAGCTCTCTAATAGAACACTTAGGAAGACAAAGTCGATTTCCCTTGAAAAGAAATCCATCTTGCAGCAAATAAGAACCCACGACTCCTTTAGAACACTCTTCAATCAATGTAGCAAAATCATCATCACCTTTGTAGTATTCTTTGATCAATTCAAAACCAAGTAGCTTGCTATTTAGAATTCCAATCAAAGTGTATCTTCTAGATAATGCATCAGCCACAACATTCGATTTCCCTTCTTTGTACCTTGAAGAAAAATTAAATGATTGTAAAAATTCAACCCACGTAGCATGTTTAGGATTGAGCTTTTGTTGTCCATGTATGTACTTCAATGCTTCATGATCAGAATGCAACACAAAGTGATTAGGTCGGAGATAATGACTCCAATGATCTAAAGCTCTAACAATGGCATAGAACTCTTTATCATAAGTAGAATAGTTCAATCGAGCTCCTCCCAATTTCTCACTGAAATATGCAATAGGCCTCTTCTTTTGGAGTAAAACTGCTCCAATTCCAACTCCACTAGCATCGGTTTCAACTTCAAAAGGGCTTGAGAAATCTGGTAACGCAAGTATAGGTGCTTCACATAGATTCTTTTTAACCAACTCAAACACACTTTGAGCTTCTTTAGTCCATTCGAATTTACCCTTGTCCTTCTTTAAACATTCGGTCATAGGCGCCACAATACTTGAGAAATTCTTGACAAATCTTCTATAGAATGAAGCTAGACCATGAAAAGACCTTACTTCACTCATATTAGTAGGAATAGGCTAAGTTTTAATAGCCTCTACTTTCGAATGATTAACTGAAACTCCATCTTTTGATACAACATAACCAAGAAAAGTAACACTAGGCACTAAGAAGTAGCATTTTTCAAGCTTAGCATAGAGTTTCTTCACTCTTAACACTTCAAACACACTTGTTAGATGATTTAGATGATCATGCAAATTTTTAGAGTATATCAGAATATCATCTAAATAAACAACAACAAACTTGCCAAGGAAAGGTTTAAGTACCTCATGCATCAACCTCATGAAAGTTCTAGGTTCATTAGTGAGTCCAAACGGCATCACCAACCATTCATACAACCCTAACTTAGTCTTGAATGCTGTTTTCCACTTATCTCCTTCTCTCATTCGAATTTGATGATAACCACTCATAAGATCAATCTTAGAAAACAACTTTGAACCATGTAGTTCATCAAGTAGATCATCTAATCTTGGAATAGGAAATCGGTATTTGATAGTGATGTTATTCACACTCTTACTATCAATACACATGCGCCAACTCCCATCTTTCTTTGGGACAAGTAAGGTAAGCACGGCACAAGGGCTCATACTTTCCCTCACGTATCCTCTAGTCATAAGCTCTTCAATTTGCCTTTGCATCTCCTTTGTTTCTTCCGGATTACTTCTATAAGCTGCCTTATTAGGTAATGGTGCTCCCGGAATCAAGTCAATTTGATGCTCTATCCCACAAATAGGAGGTAGTCCCAGAGGTAATTCCTTAGGAAAGACATCCTTGAATTCTTCTAAAACAGATTCCAATTCATACGGCCTCTTTGCTTGTTTATTTTAATCAATTCGAATCTCATTAGAAACAAGTATATATACCACATTGCTGCTGCAAATCTCTTTTTCTAATTCCCTCTCACTAATCAAATAAGAACTCTTCGAATTAGAGGTAACATTAGAAGACTTGTTGCTTATCAAAGGTTTTAAAGCAACCGGTCTCTCTTTTTCTCCTTTTCTCACAACATACACAGTAGTCCTTCCGTCAAACTTCACAAATCTATCATATTGCCAAGGACGGCCTAATAGTATATGACAAGCATCCATAGGACAAACATCACACAAAACTTTATCATGAAATTTACCAATTGAAAAGGAGATTAAGGCTTGTTTAGTTACCTTAACATCACTCAAATTATTAAGCCAATGAAGCTTATAAGGGCTTGGATGTTCAGTAGTTGGCCACTTCAATTTGTCTACCAAAGTAGTAGATACCACATTAGTGCAACTCCCCGTGTCTATGATCATGTCACACAACCTATCTTCTACCTTGCACCTTGTAAGAAATATTTTCTCCCTTTGATTGTTTTCCATAGGTACGGTTTTAGAATGTAGTGCCCTTCTTAGAACCAAACTTTGACCATGAGTCTCGGGATCAATTTCGTCAATATGCCCCTCCTCTTCTTCAAAGTTTTCCTCTTCGTTCTTTTCTTCATAGTCACTACCTTGCTCACACTTAGCTTGTTCTTGTTCTTGTTCCCACTCTTGAGCAGTCATTACTCTTTTTGATGGACAATTAGTTGCAATGTGACCAACACTACCACACTTGAAGCACTTCCTATCTTCAACAAGCTTTTTAGGAGCTTCAAATTTTGATTTAGTCTCCTTGTAGTTCGAACTAGAACCACTTTTCTCCAAGCTGTTCTTCTCAAAAGGTTTAGTGAAACCTTTTACAAAAGGCTTAGTGTACGTCCCTTTCTTCCCCTTTATCTGTTTTTCAACTTTCAAAGCTACCTTGCAAACATCCTCAAAGGACCAATATTGTTGCAATTCAACTTTTTCAGCAATATTATCATTCAACCCCGAAATAAATCTAGCAATCTTATGCTCAACAATCTCTTCTAAGCCACATAGCATGCATAACTTTTCAAATTCACCAATATAATTCTCAACAGTCATAGAATTTTGTTTAAAAAGTTGCATCTTAAGATAAACATCTTGAATATAATCACTAGGTACGAACCTTTTTTTCATGTGCTTCTTGAGTTGTTCCCAAGTTGAGATTCTTGCACGCCCCTCCTTATGACTCTTTTTCTTTAGATTATCATACCAAAGACTAGCATAACCGGTCAGTTTTAATTTAGCCAATTTGCATCTTTTCCTTTCATCATACTCCTTGTAATCAAAGAGTGTCTCGGCCCTTCTAATCCACTCAAAGTATTTTTCAGGTTCATTCATACTCCCATTGAATTCGGGAAGATCTAATCTAAGGTTCCTATCATCATCCTTTGGTCGATCTCTTCTCCTAGGCCTTGGTGATTCATCACTTGAGGAATAATTATTTCGTGGCCTCCTTGGGTTCCTCCTTGGTTGTTCTCCCTCACTTGAACCAGAACTAGAGTTAAAATTCCCTTTCCCTGAAGAATCTCCAGCACAAGTATGAAGCCTTTTTAATAACTCATCCATCCTTGCTGCCAACTCGTCAATTCGCCTATCTCTTCTAAGATTTTGAGCCTGTTCTAAGGTTAATCCCCTTGGAACCTGTGGAACCTCCTCGTCACTCATGATTCCTACACAAACCAAGTCAGTTCATGCAAAAATCTTGATTTAAAGATCGAATCTTGAAGGAAAACTAGGAAACACAAAAACCGGACTCCCAACCGCAAATCAGTGCACAAACACCACACGTTTGAGGCTGTGTAGAGCGCGTTACTCAACTAAAAATTATGAAATTTTATATGGTGATAGCTGGACGTTTTTAGAGTTCAATTCAAAAATAATCACGTAAAAATTCCTAGCCAATTGTTCCCAGTTTAATTTTTACCGAAGTTGCGCAAACCTGGCTCTGATACCAAAGATGATGTGAATTATTGATCCGAAAATCAAAAAAACACAAGGGATATGTTTAAGTCTAATTCTATAAAGGAAATCTACCAAGAATTAAACAAAAACTAAGATTAATCAATTAAGAATCCACCTAATTAATCAATCCAAACGAATGTTTTAACTAAAACAAGCAAAACAACAATTGATCACAATCAACAAAAACTCAAGTATGCAACTTAAGAAATAAATCTGAATATCATTCTCTATATAATTCGTGTGTTTTACAGCCCTATTTATAGACTTAGTTTACCTAGGAAGATTAGGAAAAGTTCCTGATTCAATCCTAATTAAACTAGAATTCTAACTTGCTTGAAGAGCAAGCACCTTGGAGCACAAGCATATGCCAATCTCCTTGGAGAACAAGCACACGCCTAAACTGATTTATTTTGCTAACTAACTGATTTTAAAAGCAACTAAATAAAGATTAAGGATCCTAATGCTTGAACCAAGAAAAACCCTTTCAAGTGAAAGGTAAAAACTTGTAAGCAAAATCTAAGTAAAGAAAATTCAAGAAAGTTCAAGAAAGTGAACTAGACTCCAAGAAAAGCCACTAAGCAAACTGTGGCTTTGCTTTGATATCCAAGAAAGTGTCCATGCAATGCTTGGCTTGAATCAATGTTTAGGGACAAGCTATCTTGATGCATGATAAGCAAATCTTCGAAGTTCTCTGTGCTTAGACTTGCATCAAGGTTAGGAGGTGGAAACCCGTTCGATGCGTAATCAATGCAAAATGAATTAATTAGTGTCTAGTAATTGTGTTTTGATGATTGGTGTGTGTGCTTGTGAACAGGTGCAATGAGGTAAGTGTGTGTTGATAGGTAAAAGCATGTTAGTGTGGCTGATTTACGCTTATGTACTCAGCTTTGCTGATTGTGTTTGTTTGTGTATTTGGCCATGTCTTTATCTTGGCCCTATGATGACCCATTTTTAATGGAGAGTAGTGGAAACAAGTAGAGATAAACTTTTCAGGTATTGAAGCATGATCATGATGGGGCATGAGTGAAGAGTGAATCCTACTAGTTTTCATTAGGTTACAAGGTGTTTAATGCTTTATTTATTTATGATATATTATGTGTGGACTAACACAAAGGTTTGGTTTTAGGAACTGTTTTTGAAGAAGGACCTTTAATGGTTCCAAGTTGTAGTTTGATTTTATTTGACTTGTTCGTTTGGTTTTAAACTTTATTTTCGTTTGGTTGACTTTGGGTTGACTTGTTTAACCGGTTTTTAATTTTGAGTCTTCCGCTGTGTATCTTTGATAATTGCCTTAGCCGTTTTCACGGTGGCGGTAATGTCTTAGTTATTCCTAAATCGTATTTTAAAAGAGCAGAATGGGTATTTAAAGGAAAAGAATTTCTAGGGTGTTACACCAGCTCAAGCGGCACCCGGATGGTATATCCTTCTCCAAGGGGTCGCTTGCGTACAAAGCTCTCAATCCCATTTATCATGATCTCTCTATCCATAGCAGAGACGTGGATATTAAAGGGGTCATCCTTAACCTTCCATTTTTTCCTTTCCTCAGCCTCTCAAAACTCGAGCGGGGAAAGAGGAGCATCACCGTCATCCTTAGTGCTAGACCCTGAGGCGGTGCTCTCCCCGTCTCCTTCTTGGGAGACCTCTTCGCCGGCTGACCCCGTGCCCGACGTAGTCTCTTCCCCGTCTTTGTCTTCGGGGCTAGCCTTATCAAGTTCCATTTGGGAGACGGCTTCCTCATCGTCTCTACCCTCAACTTCATCTAAAATCGTATCGTTAGGGGTCCTAGGGATCCCAGACTGGGAGTATTCTCCTGAATCTTCATTCATCTGTGCCCCCTCAACTGGGGTTATTTCATTAGACGACACTTCCAATGGACCGTGTCTTCGACGCCGTCTGGTGGCTGTCTGTTTAGTTCTAGCCATCGTGACTTGCACATACACATAGACGGTTAGTTGAGGATATGTAAAAAATTGCTCCGTACACCCAGAGCCGGCACTCCCAGTCCTAAACTCAGCCGTAACAGGAGAACGGCTGACTACTGACCTAGGCCGTGCCGTGTGTGTAGGTGATGAGACCATTTATTGAATGAAAGTATACAAATTTAAAGAATCAGCTGAAGGGGGTAGAGGCAATACCTTAATCTGTCTCTGGAGGAAGGCAAGCGACAATGACCGGCTGCGATACGCTGTTTGAAGGTGACCTTGCTTGTGTGGGGCACAGGCGGTTATCTAACCGGCTGGGGCAGGCGGAAAAGAAGAGAAGTTTATGTTGAACACAAACGGTGGTTAGAGTTTCTCTTTCTAGAAATCTCTTTACTTTCTCTCTCTAAAAGTTTTGAAAACGTCCAAAATAGGGAGGGGTAAAACATATAATTATAGAGGGGTAAAAGCAGGGGTATTCTTGTAATTTCTCCTGGAATTTGAAAAATTAAACTTTCATAGAAAAAAATGGTGGCTGAGTGACACATGTCACAAATGCCACATGGCGTGCCACGTCACATCAGTGAGGGGCAAATGTTGTGGGTAATTTTACCCATGCCACATGGGCCGACCAGATCATGACACGTGTCATACCCCGATTTGTCTAAATTAGACGAATCCCCATTTAACACGTATCATTCCCAAAATCTGGGAGAAAAGGCGGCCTTCGAGGGCCCAAATCCTGGGAAGTCGTAACTCTATACAATGCAACAAAATAGGTCCGAATGACCTAATCAGTGGCATATTTCCCAATGACCCTATAAATAGGGAGATGACCCCCATTTTGGGGACACCTATTACAGCATACCCTATATTCTCTCACATCAGAGAAACACCTGATCTCGAAATCCGAGAAGATCCTCTTTACTTTCCGCACCTTTTTCACATTCTCTTACGCGTTCTAACTTGATTGTCGGAGGCAGAGCTCCAACAACCCGGAGTCTCCGTTTTTTTGCATGTACAGGCGCAGTCGGATTAGTCTCCAAGCTGTAACTTTCCCGAGGGACAAAAACACCCAAAACAGAAGAGTTTATTCAAGATTAAGTTGTAACATTAATTATACATTAATATTACTTGTCGGAAGCGGCCTCCACCCAAGCATTCCGATTACTTGACCTTACTAAATAATTAGATTTCTAATAATTCTGAACCCTCTATCGGAATAATACACTTGTTTGAAGGACACCATTCCTTTCAATCTCCCACTTGTCCTTCCAAACAAGTGAGCTTTTAGTGTATAGCCTTTTTCCTATGCCACTTAATGTCTCTTCATGAACTGTAGGGTAAGATTTATTTGTCATCCTTATTATGTCAAGAAGTGTTTCTCAATCCCGAGTCCAACTGTCAATAAATAGATGATTTCTAAAATCCATCTGAGCACGGCCATGATTTCATAGTCTCGCTCTTTGAGATGCCTTGTAAACAACAAAGACATCTTCCCTATTTTTTTTGGTAGGGGGACATTCCCAGTCTTGTAATGTAGCTCCTCTTACTAAGAGCACCTAGCCACCCGAGTGTTGCCGTTATAATCCCCTTTTACAACAGACGTTTGACAACATCAAAGTGGACTAGTACTCAAACAAGAGAACTCACAATACTCTTTGTCGAGGGAATAGGTTCCGATAGCCGTAATGAGAAGTATACTTATGACAATTTTTATTCTCTCAAAGTATTCTCATAGGTCGATCCAGTATGGTTCTAAACCAATACCCGTGCAAATGATTTATGACAATCATGTCCTTGGAGCACAAGAAACGGTGCTATAAATCAAACTACACACTAATCTCAAGTGGCCATTAATTGTACATTGTTTAAGTGACCTCGATTAGGGATAATTTTTGATTATAATATTCAAAGTTCACTTAATAGGTGTTTCTTTATCAAGACTGGTCTTGATACCCTATTTTGAACATTTTCAGAATCGAATGGACTCATTATTTAATCCTAAACCATAATTAAATAGCAAACGGAGCGATAAAATTGCATGAAATTTTAAATTACTCCAAATACTGAATGGTTCATCTTAACATATATGGTTTTTCCTTATGTTTTAAGAGTAACACTCTTTATAAAACATTTGTAGAAATCACACCCATATCTAATATGCTTGATTTCTTTCGTGCAATTGTGAATGTTGTATGACACTTATTGCATAGGTTTAGTTATAATTACTTTGCTAATCTTAGCATCTTCATTACTGACCACTTTCATAATAAGATGATAAAATTTGAGAGTGCCATGGATTATATGTGATTTAGGATTTATTGTCTAAGTGATGGCTCCCACTCATTTTCATGATTAAGATCTTTAACTTGACAACCTACAATCATTATCGTTCAACAACGAACTTTCCATAGAACATCTTCTTCATTATTGCCTTTAACGCAACAATATTCTCAACAATTTTGGTAGACTTTTTGATGATGCTTTGCTTGGGTTTCACTCAAACGATTCACAATGATTTGGGATACCTATAGGCGTCGTTCAAAGTGCACCTACGTTAAAGCATGTTGTGAACATGCTTGGAACTCTTAGGAAGTGGGAATTGACATATACGATTAGGGACAAGGAAAGTAGGGAGCCGCCACCAAGTTTTTAAGGAACTTGTAAACCGTTCACGGATCATAAAAGGTAACCCCGAATAAAGGGACAACGATAGGCAACAACGATTGACCCGTGAAGGTTACACCCCATTCATAATCCATGAGATTACTAACTCCATATGGTTCTGAACCACGAAAAGAGGATCGGGGATGATGGTACGAAGTGAGTCATAGAGTCACATTCACCCGTATTGGCCTCTACTCGATTCTTATAGTGAAAAGTAATTCGTACTATCTCAAAGGCATGCAAACAAAATATTCAATTTGCTCCAAACTATATTATGCTAAATTGGTTTAATATTAGTGCAACAATAATTCTAAAATATTTGTGATCACTTGATTAAATAACAAGATTAAAAAGGAACCTAAATCGGTCGTCCAAATTATCTTATTAGGCGTGATTTTCAATTACATATTCCCTTTAAACATGCAATATGGTGATCAATAAATATAATAAAATAAGCATTAATATCGGAAGAAATTTAACAATAAATCCAACAATCTAAAATCGTTAGAAAAATAATAGAAATAAAAGGAACATAATTCTTACTTTGATTATGTTTGCTTGCAACTATAAAATAATAAACGAGTTAGTAACGTCAAGGAAAAATTAATAAAATAATAATTAAATTAAATTAAATTAAATTAAATTAAATTGAGTGGATTTGGAGCCAAACCCTCAAACAGTTCTACCTTTCACGCCTTGGTTTAAGGACAGAACCTCGAGTAAAATATGGACTCCTTGGAGTGCTTGAAGAGGGAATTTTGAAAGAAAAATGGTAGGCTAGTGTTTAGGCTAGAGCATAGAAGAGAGAAAAAGAGAGTTAATTGATGCCCCGTACATCATAAATGTGGGGGTATTTATAGGAAAATGAGTAGAGGGAACACACGGAACCCTAAAAAGATAAAAACCCTAAAAAATAACGCCGTAAACCGGTAGAGCACGCTGCGACACGGTGTCAGATGCCGTTAGACGGGGGAAATTTCCGTGACACGGGGTATATAATGTGATGTGGGAAAGAATTAGGTTACGGGAGTGTAGACACCCATTTGTGTCTCCCCAAAACCAAACCCGGTGATGAATACTTTTCACGTCGAATAATGATTGAATGAAGTGAAAGTGTGGAAAGTCTAGTGTTGTGGTTAGTTTTTATTTAAATTCTCTTCTTTCTCTCTGTTTTCGAAAACCTATTTTAGTAAAATAGCCAATCCAGTTTAGTTTGGTCCATGACAAGGGTCCAATAATGGTGTATTTGGATGGGGCTCGAAAAGAGCTTTCCAACAATATATTATAAGCCCAATTCCAATGAATAATGAGGAAGTTATGGCCAAATTACTAAACTAGGCCCGGTTTGAACTTTATATGCGGCCCAATGATCTAGAGGAGGGCCTATTATGAAGTATCATTCCCAATGCAATTAGGATTGATTATAGTTTTCTAGAATCTTCTAGAAGGCTCTTTTAAATCCTAATTTGATTAGGGTTGATAATTGAGTTTTATGAGTTTTATTTGGAATAAAAGAAGTGTTTTGAATGAAATTACGATTTTATCCCATGTACGGACTTTTACGCTTAATTTTATCAGAAAAATACAAAACGTGTGAAAAATTGCCTGTAGCGCCGAACGCCAGGCCTTGTCGCGCGGCGACAGAGGCAGTTGCGGCGCTAGCGTCGTGTTTTATTCCTCTAAAAACTCCGATTATTTTTTATCAAATTTCGTACTATTTTTTATTATAAATAGCGTCCTTAGACCTCCGTTTTTATTCACCAAATCTCATCAAGAAAATCTTGATACTCTCTCTCTCTCTTATTCAAAACCAACTTTTCACAAACAAAATTCCGCATTCACAAGATCTAGACACATCTAGCCAAATTCGAAGTTGTCTTCGCCCTAGATGTGAAAGGTTTGATATTTCTGAGGGTTTGGTCCCAATTCTTTATTTCAATTATTTTAATTTAATTGATTTTTTTTATTATTTTCCTTGAAGTTACAAACGTGTGTATTTTGTTATTAGAAAGAGATACGAGGCATCCAAGTAAGTACTTTAATTGTTTAATTTATATTTTGATATGGAAATCATGCTTAGATTGTTATTCCTAGTATCATGTTTAGGATGTTTTTAATTGCTTCCTAGTATTATGTTTAGGGTTAAGAATATAATGTCAATTATGATTTCTTTGATGCTTCCTATTGTCTTTCTTAATATCATGTTAGTATCATGTTAGGGTTAAAGCTTTAATTTTTGATGTTTAGTGACATGCTAGGGTTTGTTATTAATCATGTTAGTATCATGCCTAAGATCTTGATATTATTATGTTTTATTTTTAGCATGATTATAA